GGAGCTGCGGGGCAGGGCCTCCGGAGGGTGGGCTGCCGGGGGCGGAGCCGTTTCGGGTGGCTGTCCGCAGCCCGCAGGCGTGGCGCTGAGCTCTCGGGCTCCCACGCCGCCCTCCTCCCCAGTCTACACTGTGGGGCTTCGGTCCCCACCAAGCCGCGCTTCCTCCTCCTCCCCTTCCTCCGAGCTGCCCTGGAGAGGCGCCGCCACTTCCTGCGGTGCCGAGGGCTGGGGTATGCGCCTGGGCCTGCAGCGCGGCGGCAGAGGAGAGGGCGGAGGAGAGAGCAGGCTAGTCGTCGTCTTAGGGGGTTGGGGGCTTTCCAGACCGTGGCGCTCGGTAGGCTTGGGGTGTCTGGAAGAGGGGCGGAGAAGGGTTGCCCAGGGAACGGCTTCGACGCCCGGCGGGAGTTGGGACGGCCGAAGAGGGATTCTCTGGGACGTTCGGAACCCCCTCCCTTGGCGGAGCGAGGCCCCTCTACCAATGGGGTTACCCAGCAAGGAGGCGCGACTCACCCCGCGCCCTGAGGAAGAGAGTGGACGAGTCTCCGCTTCTCTGGCTCACTCTCCTACAGCCCAGGCTAGGGGATCTCAGAGACCCGCCCAGCTCGGTTTGGAGGTGCGTGTGGGTGCCTCTTCTAGTGCACCCCACACCGTGAGGACACATGCTTTGAGTGGGAGAGCGGCAGGGAGCCTCAGTAACGCCCACGCCGCCTTGCAGGAGGAGAGCAGCCGGCTTTACAGTCTACACGGGCCTGGACACAATCCCATGAAGAACGAACTGTCCCCATTTTACAGATAGAGTTCAAGGCTCGGGAAGGTTAGAAGCTTGAGTAAGAGCCTACAGCTGATCAGAGGCAGAGGCAGAATCCTGGCTCTAAAACCTTTATTTAATACAACATTGTAAACCGACTATACTTCAATTTAAAAAGATTTTTTTAATAAAATGAAACCTTTATTTACCACTTGTTGATTTGCAAGTAGGGGTTGGAGGCTGTGTGGGTGAGAGGTTCAGGCAATGAAGTCGCTTGGTTCAAATTTGACCCAGAGGCCACTTGTGGGGCCCACCTGGTTGCCTGAGTGACCAGGGACTCATTCCTCTTTCTCGGGAAGGACTCATGGAGGTGCTGTCCTTTATGTGGATGGGGAAGCCGAGGGCTCTGGCAGCCTACTCTGAACTAGAGGAAATAATAATAACGCTCCCATAGACTGAGAATTTCCTATATGCCTGTCAGACACAAGTCTAACTGCTTTATGTTTGTTGCCTCAATCCTAGCAACGCCATGAAGTAGACAGTTGTTACTGTTGCAGTTTCACAGATGAGAAAACTGAGGCTCGGGAGTTGACACCTGGTTGTGATCAAACAAAATGTTTCTTCGTTTGGTTTCCTGGACACCAGGCTTCCCTGATCTTCCTCACTTCACTGGCCACTGCTCTGTCTCTTTTTCCGGCTTCTCCTCTTCCCCAGTTGAAGACCCCAGGCTTTAGTCCATGCTCCTTTCTGTGTATGCACTCTGCAGGAGTGATTATAATATCTGTATGCGGATAACTGCAACATTTCTATCTCAGCCCCGACCAGCTGACTCATATTCAACTACCTCTCTTACTGGCATTTCCAACTCAACACATCTCACCCCCAAAAAACTACTTACTCCCTACACTCCACTCCCCTTCTTACCTACCTCAGAGAGTGGCACTGTTGTTCATCCATTTCCCCAAGCCCCAAACCTAAAAACTGCTCAGCGTGCTTCTCTGATTCTTAAATGCCATTTCCAAACCCTCAGCAAGTCTTGTCAGGGTGCCCTTCAAATCGTCAGAATTAACCACTGGCTAACTTTGCTGTAATTACCCTGGACCAAGCCACCATCATGTTGGCCTGGATTATATGGTAGCCTCCTAATTGGTCCCCCTGCTTCTACCTCCTCCATGCCCCTCCTCAGTCTGTTCTCCCAACAGCATCTAGGGAGATATTTGTAAGCATTAATCAGTTCACGCCATTTTATTCAGAACAAATTCCAAACCTGTAGAAAGCCTGTTTAATCTGGTTTCCACCTCCCTTCTCCACCCTTTTCTCCTATCACCCTCTACCATACTCCATCTTCTTTAGCCACACTAACCTAATTGCTGCTATTCCTTCAACTTGTCCTGTTTCTTCTTGCCTTTGGACCTTTGTATTTGCTGTTCACTGAGCCTGAAATACTCAAGAAATACTTAGCCCCATATTTCATTCAGATCTCTCTAATGTTACCTTATGATAGAGGTCTTTTCTATGTAGAATAGTCCCTCACCCAATTCTGCTTTTCCCACTTGATTTTTTTCAGAGAAGTTATCACTACCCAAAATTACACATTTTTTACTGTTGTCTTTCTCTCTCATTAGACAATCAGCTGCATGATTGCAGGAAGTTTCTCTCTTATTCACTATCCTCAGCTCCTAGAGCTGAACTGGATACATAGCTGATACTGGATGGATATTTGTTAAAATACCTGTTAACTGGATGCTTATGATCATCTTGATAATGTGGGAAAGTGAGAGGGGGAGAACTATTATATTTAGAACACAAAAGTCAAGAGTTCTTCCCCAGGGAATGGTGAGGGTGAAGCTGACCCCAACAGCCTATATTTAGAGAAAAATGCCTGGCCAGTGAGTGAGGACAGGTCAGAACAATCTCCAGTCTGAAAAATGATGGGAGGGGAAAATGGAGATATATCTTCCATGTGTCCAGATAATGACCAGGCAACAGAATTGAGGGGAGGTTAGGGGTCACAGACTTACCCCAGAACCCTCTCTGTGGCCAGAAAGTGAGGAAAAGGAACAACACTTGCTAACTGTCTTTCCCCTGGGAACATGCAGAGTCACTGAAGCTTGACACCAGCCTCAACATACCACCTCCCTTCCAAAGGTACCTAGAATTGGTAAATTTCTTGTTTCCAAAAGGTCCAGAAGGTCAGAAACTTTCAGGGTAACTCTGTCCATCTGTCCAAACATGAACTGAAGTTGGAGACAAAGACAGACCCAAGATAGCCTTCTCCAGCTCTTTCCCACCCTTGACCTTGTCAGGTGAAAAAATTAATGCCGTGGGGAGACACCTGGAGGAGGCAGTTACAGTGCTGGCTGGACAAAGCTGGGATCTGGGTTTGACAGTTTGCCCATCCAATGATTTGCCCAGAATAGCCCAGCTCTCTGCTTCTTCCTGCAGGCTGCCGTCAACTGGTTAGTGGCATTTCCTCTGCCCTCTCACAGTACCCTCATCTGCACCTGTCAATATACATTTCTTTCATGCTCGTAGATCAGAAGGGCAAAGAATAGTGCCTAACACATGGTAGACAGTTATATCAGTTATTTATTTCTGTATAACACACCACCCCAAAACTTAGTGTCTTAAAATTAACAATTTCTCACAGTTGTGTGGTTTGACTGGCAATTCTGGTCCCTGTGGTGTCGGCTGGGGCACAGGCACAGTTGGAAGTTCCAAAATGGCCTGACTCACAGGGCTGGCAGTTGGTGCTGGCTGGCGGCTGGGTCAGAATGCGTCACGCATGGGTCAGGGGCCTTGGTTCTTCTCCATGTGGGTTTCTCCACAAAGGCCTCTCACACGGCTACTTGGGTTTCCTCACAAACTGGAGGGTGTGTTCCTAGAAGGAGCACTTTAAGAACAAGGGAAGAAGATGCACATTCCTTATGGTCCAGCCTTAAGCATCAGTTCCACTGGTGTCTTAGTTAAAACAAATTACAGGGCAGTCCAGATGCAAGGGGAGTGGAAACAAACTCCATCCACCAGAGGAGAGGTAAAGAATTGGCAGCCATTCTTTTTAATCCTCCGTAGTTTGCCTGGTGGCCACAAATTTAATTCCTCCCAGGTGCAAAATACATTAATCTCTCTCCAAAATCCTCCAGAGTTTCATCCCATTATGACTTCAGGCTGAGGCTCCAGGTCCAGAATCATATCATCTAAATTAGACCCAGGTATGATTCCTCGGGTTCAGGGACCTAGGACCTACAAAACAAATTATCTTCTTCCTCTTCTTGTTCCTGAGTAATTCAATCTGAAGGCCATTAGGTAGCAAAGAACAGGGTAGGAGTCCAAATGGCACAGGCAGAGGCAGTATGTCAAAGCCCAACTGAACAAGGAGACGAGGTGGGGTGAGGGGAGTGCCAGCCCAGCACACGGTGCCAAAGTCCAAGCAGAGAAAAGAGGGCATCCATGGAGTATTAGGGTATTAGGGGTTTCTGTGAAATAGGGCAGCCCAGTGTAGGGTATTGGGATAAAGAGACTGTCAAACACGGGGAGACAGATTAAAAGTAACTATATGTGTATATATATATCTTAATATCAAAAAACCAAACAACCCAATTAAACAATTGGCAGGAGACCTAAATAAGCATTTCTCCAAAGAAGACATACAGATGGCCAATAGGCACATGAAAAGATGCTTAGTATCGCTAATTATCAAAGAAATGCAAATCAAAACTACAATGTGGAATCACCTCACACTGGTCAGAATGGCCATTATTAAAAAGTCTACAAATAATAAATGCTGGAGAGAGTGTGGAGAAAAAGGAACCCTCATACACGTTGGTGGGAATGTAAAAAACTAAAAACAGAGTTATTATATGACCCAACAATCCCACGCCTGGGTGTATAGCCAGAGAAAACTAAAATTCAAAAGGTTACATGCACCCCAATGTTCATAGCAGTGCTATTTACAATAGCAAGACAAGGACGCAAACTAAATGTCCATTGGCAAATGAATAGATAAAGATATGGTGTTTGTGTGTGTATGTGTGTGTATATATATATGTGTGTGTATATATATATGCACAAATAATATACACAAATATATATACATATATATAAATACAAACATACATGTATGTATATACACACACACGCGCGCACACACACACA